GATTAGCAGACCCATTGAAATGATCATTACTAACCTAGGTAGGTTTGTGAATTCCAGTGGGAATTCTCTGAATGGGATGAGCTTAGGAGACAACCCATATGCCCATCAGGAAAATATACACACACATTTTGTGATCAGGACTGTTGCAAAAGTCACAAGTTGTGGGCGAGAAGATGACAGGACAAACTGGAAGGGAGTGTGTGTGTGTGTGTGTGTGTGTGTGTGTGTCACCCATCTCATTCTCTCCAAAGCAGTTCTGTGAACTCCTAGCCCCGATGTGCCCCAAGGAAGTGGGTCTGGTTTTCTGACAGCGTATAGCTTCCTTTCAACCTCCAACAATGGAGTGGGGGCTGGGGGCTGGGAAGGTGGGCTTGTGAACCCATCACTCACAAGCTCAAGGGCTGCAGGGACTCTCACCCTTCCGAGCTGAGGTCTTTGTCCGAACAGAGACCCGTCAGAATCACTTCCTGACCTTTGAGCTGCATAAAGTATCTCGGCATTGATTTATGCATGAACTGAGAATGGGAAGGGGTTGGGGTTGGGTGGGTGGGAGGGAGGGAGAGGGAGGGAGGGAGGCTAAATGATATCATCATTACTTCTTGTAAACTGAGTGGAGGCCAGAATGCTTTGCCCAGACCTACCAGCGTAGCAGTACAATAATGTGTTCTGCAAGCTTGCTTACACCAGCCAAAGAAGTCATCAGTGGGCAGGCGTGGTTCAAGTATCATGAACCGCAGCATGGCGATCTGCAGCAGGTTAGGCAGAGATGAAGCACATTGGAGGAGCGTTGGAGCAAAGTAGAAAAAGACTTGAGGACTCTTGCAACCCAAGAAACGTTGGAAAGCTGTTAAAGCGATTAGAAGCAAGGGAAACAGGTTAATACTTTAATGAGCCCTATACGGCCCAGGACCCTCGTACCTACGGGACCGCCTCTCCTGGTATGTCCCACAGAGGACCCCTTGGTCTTCAAATAAAAACATCTTGGAGGTCCCGGGCCACAGGGAGGTTAGGCTGGCCTCAACTAGAGCCAGGGCTTTTTCGGCCGTGGCCCCGATCTGGTGGAACGCTCTGTCCCAAGAGACTAGGGCCCTGCGGGACTTGACATCTTTCCGCAGGGCCTGCAAGACAGAGCTGTTCCACCAGGCCTTTGGCCAAGGCACAGTCTGGCCCCCTCCTTTGGTAATCCTCACAGAACTCTAGCCCAATGGTTGCCATTAATTTGATTTTGAATTGATTTTAGAATGCTGTGTTACTTTTATTGTTAGCTGCTCTGAGGGCGGGATATAAATAAAAAAATATTATTATTATTATGAAATTGATTTTATTGGGTTGTTGTGATATAGGAACAGTAGGAAGTTTCCTTATAGTGAGTCATCAAATCATAGAATTGTAGAGTTGGAAGGGACCCCGAGGGTCATCTAGTCCAACCCCTGCAATGCAGGAATCTCAGCTAAAGAATCCATGACAGACGGCCATCCAACCTCTGCTTAGAAACCTCCAAGGAAAGACTGGTCCATCTAGCTTAGTATTGTCAACACTGACTGGCAACAGCCCTCCCAAGATTTCTAGCAGGGGACATTCCCAGCTCTATATGGAGAGGCTGGGGATTGAACCTACGACCTTCAGCATACAAAGCAGTTACTCTACTGCTGGTCCACAGCCCTTTCCCTGCTACGTAACGACAACGCTCAACTATATAATGCTGGTTGGGGCTGATGGGAGTTGGCAATCCCAAACATCCAGAGACTTAGGGATACAGGAGCCTGCTTTCCAGTTGGTACACCTCTAGATCAGGGATGGGGAACTTTTTTTTTAAAAAAAATATTTTTTATTGAGTTTCTTTTCTTAGGGTCATAAACACAAGATCGAAGCAAGAAAATACTAGAAACAAAAACAAAGAAAAATGATAAAAAGATTATTACAATCCAACTTTCAACAGTTTTTCCAATATTCCAAATGGACTTCCCCACATCCTCACGACTCTGCGTTCTTTGCAATAAAAGTTTCAGCAATTTGTTACCTTGTTTCTTAACTTACTGTATCTTTCAGTTATTATGTTTCTAATTCACAATATTATATCCCAACTTTGTACATTTAAAGTTAACATAATAAAATTGTTTCATATTTACCACCTCTTTTTTCTTGTCTTAATTTTCAGTTTACCTAATCAAGTTGCTAAAAGCAAAAATTTCCTAATCGTGCGTATTTCTTAACATTCGTACAACTTATAATGTTTTTGCAAATAGTCCTTAAATTTTTTCCAGTCCTCTTCCATTGTTTCCTCTCCCAAATCTCGGATTCTGCCAGTCATTTCAGCCAGTTCCATGTAGTCCATCAACTGCGTCTGCCACTCCTCCAGCGTGGGTAAATCTTGAGTCTTCCAGTGCTTTGCAATAAGGATTCTTGCTGCTGTGGTAGCATACATAAACAAAGTTCTATCCTTCTTTAACACCTTCTGGTCCACCATGCCCAATAGGAAGGCCTCTGGTTTCTTGGGAAAGGTATACCTAAATACCTTTTTTAACTCGTTGTAAATCATTTCCCAGTAGGCCTTCACTTTTGGGCAGGTCCACCAGAGATGGAAGAATGTCCCTTCTGCCTCCTTACATTTCCAACATTTATTATCAGACAGGTGGTATATCTTGGCTAACTTGACTGGGGTCATGTACCACCGGTATGTCATTTTCATAATGTTTTCTTTCAAGGCATTACATGCCGTAAACTTCATTCCGGTGTTCCATAACCTTTCCCAGTCTTCAAACATAATGTTGTGTCCAATATCCTGTGCCCATTTTATCATGGCAGATTTAACTGTCTCGTCCTGTGTATTCCATTTAAGCAGCAAGTTATACATTTTCGAAAGTGTCTTAGTTTTTGGTTCTAACAATTCCGTCTCTAATTTCGATTTTTCCACCTGGAAACCAACTTTTTTATCCATTTTAAAAACCTCTTGGATTTGAGCATAATGTAAGGGGATGGGGAACTTTTGACCCTGCAGATGTCACTGGACTCCAGCTGCCATTGGCCCCAGACAGCGTGGCCAATGGTCAGGGACTGTGAGTCGAGCAGTATCTGAAGAACACCGAGTTGGCTAACTCTCAATTGCAGAAGTCAATTCACTTCGCAGCTACCAAAACTCTGAAATGATTGTGAAATGCCCTGCTCTGAATAAATAAAAAATTTAAAAATTGTCCTGTAGCATCTTAGAGACCAACTAGGTTTGTTCTGGGTATAAGCTTTCGTGTGCCTGAAGAAGTGTGCATGCACATGAAAGCTTATACAGTCATACCTCGGGTTACAGACACTTCAGGTTGCATTTTTTCGGGTTATGGACCCACCGGAACCCGGAAGTACCGGAACAGGTTATTTCCAGGTTTCAGCAGTCATGCATGCGCAGAAGCGCTAAATCGCTTTTGCGCATGTGCAGAAGTGCCGAATCGCAACCCGTGCGTGCACAGATGTGCCACTGTGGGTTGCAAACGCTGCGGGTTGTGAACATTCATCCCGCACGGATCACGTTCGCAACCTGAGTGTCCACTGTACCCAGAACAAACTTAGTTGGTACCTAAGGTGCTACTGGACAATTTTTTAATTTTCTATTTATTTCGACTGCGTCAGACCAACACAGCTACCTACCTGAATCTACCCTGCTCTGGTTAGACTAGAAAGCAGAAATCGACACTGAGATTCCTGCATTGTCGGGGGTTGGGCTAGATGACCTTTGGGTTCCCTTCCAACTCTCCAGTTCTGTGAACTCAGCTCAGCCCTCATCGCCCAACTTCCAAAATGCGTGTGCTGCTTCCGTTTTTGCACTTTTACAAGGGCTGTGATTTCACAGTGGCTGTTTCTTTTCCTGCAGCTATAGGCTCGGCTTCTCTTTCTCTCTCTGCTCAGAGGCTTATAACCTCCAGGCAGGGCCCATAAAGCTTGTTTCCCACTGGTGACCCCCCTACTTAACACATAGGTGAGAGGGATCCTCCCTTCACCCCGCTTTTGTTATGCAGGGTTAGAGTTTATTGAGCTATTGTTTGTCCTTCAAGAGGGTTTTTTCCACCTCGCCCCCATTTCCTTTCTCAGGAAACTCAGGGCCCCAAACACACCCAGAGTGAAGCCAAAGAAATATGTTTTTAAGGGAGAAGCCCATTCCATGCATTTACAGCCCCGCAAGCATCCCCTTGTAAAGTAATTGGGCAGTTCGTTTTTTAAAAAATACATTCTCTTCCTCGAAAGTGCATCCTAACTAAACTGCAGAAGACTGAGCAATGAAAATAGGTACCAATTTCATGGAGGCTCAAAAAGAAGGGCTATTTCTATCCATCCACCACCCTGCCCCAGTAAATATGCTGTTGTTGTTGAGTCATTTAGTTGTGTCCAACTCTTCGTGACCCCATGGACCAGAGCACGCCAGGCACTCCTGTCTTCCACTGCCTCCCGCAGTTTAGTCAAACTCATGTTTGTAGCTTCGTGAACGCTGTCCAGCCATCTTGTCCTGTGTCGTCCCCTTCTCCTTGTGCCCTCCATCTCTCCCAACATCAGGGTCTTTTCCAGGGAGTCTTCTCTTCTCATGAGGTGGCCAAAGTACTGGAGCCTAGGCTCTGTGGTTTAACTCACAGCGCCACCCGCGTCCCCTTGAGACTCCTTAGGGTAGTGATAAAGCAGGATATCAAATCCAAACTCTTCGTCTTCTTGCCCTGTGCCACAACTCACCTGTCTGTGCAAGCGGCAATAGCATGAGAGATCACATGGCTACCCACTCGCTACCTGCAAAAGGCAGAGAGCAGCTGCCCCCTCCCTGCTTTTTCACCTTTTTAGTGTACCACAACTCCAAAGGAGGAATACGAGACACTCGCAGGGAGACACACCCTGCTTACCACACCCTGGATACGCAGCAAAGCTTAGGAGGGGGGACAGAGATCATCCGGGACACAAAGCAACGGAATAAATAAATTTCACCAAGTAAAACGAGGTTTAGAGAAAGAAGTCCGGGCGTTACACACAACTGTCTTCCCCTCTCTCTCTTTAAAAAATGGTTTCATTCATTTTACAATACTTGGCAGAACATTATATAAACCTAAAAATACTGTAGAGATAGAAAGAACACCAATGGCAGGATACAAACAGCTGGTGGCACGGCAGGGCGATTTCAACAAACCGGTTTTACAAACGCTAAGAAAATGGTCCAGTCCCTTCCTCCCTTGGCAGAGAGAAATGCAAGCAGCCACTTCTAGATGCTGCTGCTGCGACTGCTTGTGTGTGTTGAGACCTGGCTAGTGTTGGGGCAAAGCCACAGAGCAGCCCTCGCCCAATCCCTGCCATCTCGTTGCTGCTTACCTGGACAGGAGAGAATGGCAAGGCTCTGTGGTTACACCGAGGTGAGGGCCGGACTGGCAGAGGCGAATCTATTGGCACATGCATGGTGCCCACCTTGCTAGCGCCCCAGCTCCGCCCAGGTTAAGCAGTTGTGACAGCAGTGTGGCTCAGCCCCAATATAAGCATGGCTGCAGGAGCTGGCGATCCAGTGATCTTTTGCAAACCTTAGGGAACGAACATTAGGCAAGGCCCTACTTTGCCGTGTAAGTGAAAGGAGACAACACGCTTTGGGCTGGGACAGGTAACCGAGTAACCCTGCTGCAGCAAAACCAAGGACTACCTGCTCCTTCAAAGACTATAATTGCAGGTCCACACCAAACATTTAAAGGACACCCAATGCACATTTAAAGTACTGTACATGTCTATTTGTTTTTATTATAAATAACTACTGTAGTGGTAGTTTCCCCACTCAGAGCTGCTACAATTCCCAGCATCCTTAACAAGTTAGTTCCCAGGATTCTTGGGGGGGGGAGAGACATGCGCTTTAAATGCGCATCACATGCGCTTTAAATGCAGGATGTGGGTCTGTCGTTAACACCTTTATTGTGTGGCGTTTTGGGGGCTTGTGGGTCAGAGCCCCCTTTGTCAACAGTTATACAAAGGGATCTCATCAGTGGGTGTGCCTTTTTCAGATGCAGGTACATAGCCTACATGTCGAGGGGGCCATTTCATGCGCCTGGCAAAGGTTTCAGCCGCAATAAATGCATTTAGTCTTCAAGCCAGCACAAGGTTCTTTGTTGCTGATGCACATGCATCAACAAAAAGGAACCTGGGCGGCTTAGAATCCTACTTCTTTATGTCATATACTACTAATAATAATTTTATTATTTATACCCTGCCCTTCTTACTGGGCTGCCCCAGCCACTCTGGTCTGCTTCCAGCAAACTAGGCTTCATGAGCTTGAGAGGGGCGTTTCTGCAGCAGTACAGCCTCTGTACTGATAAAGCATTCCGATCTACCCCACACAACCCTCCTAACAGTTGTCGTTGTCGTTTTGGACTGAGTGTATGTGTGTGTAACACATCAATATCATGTCTGCTTTTTACATTTCTCCTATGGTTTCGCACACACGAGCTGCTCTGGACATTTATCGCCCCCCTTTTGAAAAAAAAAACTATGTCCGAAAAAGAGCTCTGCGCAACTCAAAAGTTTCGCTCCTAGCGTTTTAAAACCCTTGTCGGAAGAGTTATCAATTCTACTGCTCTACTTTTTTCAAAGTTTAGGCAGCTGCCTAAACTCTGAGGTGCGTTTCTCACAAAGCCATTTAAGGTACAAACATTTATTTGTGGGGGTGGCTTCCTGATTTCCTGCTAGACTCCAGAAGGGCCTCTGGGACATTTGCATTAGCCGTGACTTTGATCCAGTTAGCAGCTAAGGAGAGAGGCCCCAAAACAAACGCCACAGCCTCTTTGGTTTCAGACGAAGGCTCAGTCGTCGGAATCCGTGTCGTGCCTCCTCTTGGCTCCCCGAGATGTGGGGGACCTGCTCCTCCGCCGCTTGTGGGGCCCGGTGCTTTTGCCCCTAGGAGACGGGGACCGGCTGCGGCTTCGACACTCCCTCCTTCCGCGGCTGGGGGCCTGTGTCTTTGTGGCTGGTCGGCTGTCGGGGGTCCCTTCCTTGATGCTGCTGGAGGAGGCTGGGCTGCGGCGCCACCTGCTGGGTGGTTTCTGTTCTTCCTGGGCGGGTGATGAATGGCTGTCACGGCGGCTGGCTCCAGCCTGCTGGGAGGATGATGGATGGCGCTCGGGAGGCGAGGCGGGTCGTCTCTTTCTGCAAGCACAGAGGAGAGCCGGGTCAGATCATCAGGACGCCCAGCAGTTCCCAGGGTCAGGAGCAAGAGAGGGAGAGGGAGGAAAACTTCAGCCTGCAAGCAGCGTGCTTGAAGGTACTATTTGCAATGAATTAAAAGCATGCACCTCTGCTTCCTAGGTTGCAAGAAAAACAGGAAGCTGCCTTAAACTGGGGGCACTGTGATACAGTGGTTCCGCTCTGGGCCGTGTTCAGAAAGTGGTGTTGGGGGGGTGAGTGTTCAGACCCCTAGGCTCTCACTTGTGGGGTGCCTCAGGGCTCCGTCCTCTCCCCCATGCTTTTCAACATCTCTATGAAGCTGCTGGGAAAGATCATCAGGGGGTTTGGACTGGGTGTCCATCAATATGCGGATGATACCAGCTCTACCTCTCTTTCAAATCAGAACCAGTGAAGGCGGTGAAGGTCCTGTGTGAGTGTCTGGAGGCGGTTGGAGGATGGATGGCAGCTAACGGATTGAGGTTGAATCCTGACAAGACAGAAATACTGTTTTTGGGGGACAGGAGGTGGGCAGGTGTGGCAGACTCCCTGATCCTGAATGGGGTAAATGTGCCTCTGAAGGACCAGTTGCACAGCCTGGGAGTCATTTTGTCCATGGAGGCGCAGGTCAATTCTGTGTCCAGGGCAGCTGGTTATCAGCTCCATCTGGTATGCAGGCTGAGACCCTATCTGCACGCAGACTGTCTCGCCAGAGTGGTGCATGCTCTGGTTATCTCCCGCTTGGACTACTGCAATGCACTCTACGTGGGGCTACCTTTGAAGGTGACCCAGAAACTACAACTAATCCAGAATGCGGCAGCTAGACTGGTGACTGGGGGCGGCCGCCGGGACCACATAACACCGGTCCTGAGAGATCTGCATTGGCTCCCAGTACGTTTCCGAGCACAATTCAAAGTGTTGGTGCTGACCTTTCAAGCCCTAAACAGCCTCGGTCCTGTATACCTGAAGGAACGTCTCCACCCCCATTGTTCAGCCCGGATGCTGAAGTCCAGCTCCAAGGGCCTTCTGGCGGTTCCCTCATTGCGAGAAGTGAGGTTACAGGGAACCAGGCAGAGGGCCTTCTCGCCCTGTGGAACGCCCTGCCATCAGATGTCAAGGAAATAAGCAGTTATCTTCTCTTTAAAAGACATCTGAAGGCAGCCCTGTTTAGGGAATTTTTTTATATTTAATGCTGTATTGTTTTTAACACTCGATTGGGAACCGCCCAGAGTAGCTGGGGAAACTCAGCCAGATGGGCGGGGTATAAATAATGAATTATTATTATTATTATTATCATTATCATTATTATTATTATTATTATTATTATTATTATTTAATTAATTAAACTGAGTCAAGTAGCTTAATACTGCCCACACTGACTGGCAGCATCTCTCCAGGGTTTCAGGAAGAGGACATTCCCAGCCCTACTTAGGGAGGCCAGGCATTGAACCTGTGACCCTCTGCATGCCAAGCAGATGCTCCAACCCCTGAGCTATGGCCCTTCCCTCAGAAGAGGAAGTTATCCCAGATGTTCTCCTGCTCTTACAACCTGTACTAAGACAGAATATCTCATGCCATGGGCCATGTCGATTCTGCAATGGGAAAATGCTTACCAACACACCTTCCAAGGAAAGAGCCAGGGTGACGCAGTGGTTAAGGTGTTGGGCCAGGAACTGGGAGGTCAGGGTTCGAATCCCTGCTCAGCCAACAAGCTCACTGGGTGACCTTGAGCCTGTCACTGTTTTATTTCGTTTTTTATAAAACCGCAACATTACAGTGGCTAAAAAAGGAGTTATCGCTCGCTAGCTCCCCAGATTTTCCTTGTGGCTTTCTAGCCATTTGGGGTGGCCCCAATTCCTCCTACAAGATTTATCAGTAAAGGGGAAGAGTGCAGCTCAGTGGGTAGAGCGCCTGCTCAAGCCATGGTAGCTCCAGGTAGGGCTGGGCAAAGATAAAGTAAAGGTAAAGGGACCCCTGAGCATTAGGTCCAGTCGTGGCCGACTCTGGGGTTGCGGCGTCATCTTGCTTTAGCCACCTCTGGCAAACCAGAGCAGCACACGGAAACGCCGTTTACCTTCCCACCAGACTGGTACCTATTTATCTACTTGCACCTTGATGTGCTTTCGAACTGCTAGGTTGGCAGGAGCAGGGACTGAGCAACGGGAGCTCACCCCGTCGCGGGGATTCGAACCGCCGACCTTCTGATCGGCAAGTCCTAGGCACTGTGGTTTAACCCACAGCGCCACCCGCGTCCCTTGGGCAAAGATACCCTGCCTGAAATCCTGCCACTCAGTGTAGACAAGGCTGAGCGAGGCGGACCAGGCGCCTGATTCAGAAAAGGGCAACTTCCTATGTCTTGCCAACTTCTCTTAACCTAGCTGTTTATGGAAGATTCACGACTGTTGCCAATGAGACCCACTGAGTTACCTCTCTCTGTCGTCTGGAGAAGAGGAGGCGGAAGAGGAAGAATCTTCTCTTTTTCTACGATGCTTCTCCTTTTCTTTTTTCTTTTCTTTCTTGTGCTTCTTCTTCTTCTTCTCTTTCTTCTTTTTGGGTTTCTTGCTGGGCTCTGGCCTGCATGGCAAGAGAGTAATAGACAGAATATATATCTCTCTCTCCCCACCCCCCCAAACCAGCTCAAGATACAGAATTTGAGCAGCTTCCAGAACTGGAACACGCTCCAATCCTAAATCGGCGGCAGGTGAGTTCATGGTACACTCCCGATAGGACTATACCACCCATTTGATACCCATTTAAATGCCAAAAGCTCCTTGCGCATGAATCATAGAATTGCAGAGCTGGAAGGGACCTCAAGAGCCATCTACAGTGGTACCTCTGGATACGAACAGAATCCGTTCCGGAGCCCCGTTCGCATCCTGAAGCGAACTCAACCCGCATCTGCACGTGTCGCGATTCACTGCTTCTGCGCATGTGCGTGACGTCATTTTGAGCGTCTGCGCATGCGCGAGCGGCGAAACCCGGAAGTAACACATTGGGTTACTTCCAGGTCACAGCGGAGTGCAACCAGAAAACACTCAACCTGAAGCAACTTCAACCCGAGGTATGACTGTAGTCCAACCCCCTGCAATGCAGGAATGTTTTGCCCAATGTGGGACTTGAACTCGTGACTCATGAGATTACGAGTCTCATGCTTTACCAACTGAGCTACCCCATGGAAAGTTAATATGCTAGTTCAGCCTCCTCTTTTTACATTGGATATAACCCCATCTTTCATTCTCCTCAGAATCCTGCCCAGTTTGAGGGCCTCCTCCTTGAATTCAGAAAAAACAGCTGCCCTTCCAGCTTTGCAGGGGGTTGGACTAGATAATAATAATAATAATAATAATAATAATAATAATAATAATAATAATAATAGTAATTTATTTATACCCCGCCCATCTGGCTGGGTTTCCCCAGCCACTCTGGGCAGCTTCCAACAGAACACTAAAATACAATAACCTATTAAACATTAAAAGCTTCCCTAAACAGGGCTGCCTTCAGATGTCTTCTAAAAGTCTGGTAGTTGTTTTTCTCTTTGACATCTGGTGGGAGGGAGTTCCACAGCGCAGGCTTCACCACCGAGAAGGCCCTTGGGGTTTCTTCCAGCTGTACAATTCTATGATCTCCCCAAGCCGAGAGACAAGAGGACGCCTGGGAGGTTTCTTACTCTGCGGCTCCCGTTTCCTCTTCTTTATCCGGTTTCTTTTTGGTAGCCGAAGCCTCTGGGCTGCTTGCTATTCGATGGTGCTGGGGTTTCAGAGAGAAAACAAGACACAAGAATGAAGGAATCTTGGCCAGACCTGGATAGACTCTTATTGGAGGAGAGAGCAGCTTTACTGATGGGAAGAGCCCTTCTGCTCAGTTTATGCAATCTGCAAACTCAAGCAGCAAAGCTTTTGCTGGACTATATCATTTCAGGCTGGAGGGGGAAGAGATGCGTATTTCAACACTCCCACAGGAGTGATAATCTCTACACCGAGAAAAGTGGCGTGCCTGCGAGAATGAGGTCAGTTTAGCATGCTGCCCAACACACTCAGCTTCTTTTTCCTAAGTTAAAAGGGAGAATTCAAACATTCAAACTGACACCCAACCGGCCTGAAGTGATGCAGTCCATGGTTTCCAGTTCGGGTGCAGAAGGAAACCATGGTTTGCCGTAACTTCTATCTATTTGGGTATCACAGCAAATGACCATTATTGTGAACATACTGCAGTTTGCATATGTTATGTTTAGCTTTGGAATTTGTTGACTTCCTCGTGGGGCGTAATACGCCCTGAAAAGTAGTTGAGAATCTACAAATGACGACAAAGGGAACAAAAAATGTGATCTCCCAGCAGATACAACAGTATTTTGTGATTCCTATACATGTGTTATGGGACGCGGGTGGTGCTGTGGGTTAAACCACAGAGCCTAGGACTTGCCAATCAGAAGGTCGGCAGTTCGAATCCCCACGACGGGGTGATGTCCCATTGCTCGGTCCCTGCTTCTGCCAACCTAGCAGTTCGAAAGCACATCAAAGTGCAAGTAGATCAATAGGTACCACTCTGGCGGGAAGGTAAACGGCGTTTCTGTGTGCTGCTCTGGTTAGCTAGAAGCGGCTTAGTCATGCCGGCCACATGACCCGGAAGCTGTACGCCGGCTTCCTCAGCCAATAAAGCGAGATGAGCGCCGCAACCCCAGAGTCGGCCACGACTGGACCTAATGGTCAGGGGTCCCTTTACCCTTTACCTTTATACATGTGTTTCAAGCTGCATGATTTCTTAATCTTCTGTACACCACAGTGGGCATTTGTCAATGGAAAGGGGAAACTGGTATATTTTAGGAATACACAGACAAATGTAGAATGGTGTGCTTGCCAGTGGCATCTGACACCTTTAAGGTGTGCCTCACTTTCCAGAGGCGGAGAGGGAATGTCAATAACTTACCGTGAAGACTGAAAGGCCCATTTTGGCAGCTTCTTTGTCTTCTTTGGAAAACATCATCCTGCTTGCGTCACACCTGGGAGGAAAAGTTAGAGTGGGATATTATCGTTGTTTTTCGTTCCTTAATCGGCTCCTATGAAGCAATATAATTTCATTTATTTAACAAAATTTATATATCACTCTAATGTTAAGAAAACCTCCAAGTGGTTTACAAAAAAATATTTCTTAAAAACATTAATATTCTCTGTCTCTATATATATATATGTAAGTTAAAAACTGATAACTTAAATGCATTCAAAAGATGACTGAAATCAACAGTAGCTAAAAAGGAGGTAAACCTCTTGTGACTTCTACATGTAACTGCCCTGGGCTCCTTTAGAGGGAGCTGCAGGGTAATAACTCTAATAAATAAAAAATAAATACGGTGGTACCTTGGTTCCCAAACGCCGAAAACCCGGAAGTTAAGTGTTCCAGTTTTCGAACATTTTTCAGAAGCCAAACATCCGATGCAGCTGTTGGCTATTGTTTCTGGGCGCCTGCACCAATCAGCCTTGGTTTTTGAACATTTCAGAAGTCAAAAGGATATCCGGAACAGATTAATTTTGACGCTTTTGTTTTTGCTATTTATTTTGCTTTTTTGTTTTTGAGGCTTTTTTGGTTCATTTGTTTTTGTGACTGTGTGGAACCCAGTTCAGCTACCGACTGATTGATTGTGTGACTGAGGAAATGGATAAAAGCCCCCCATCCAAACAATGACTATCATCAGTGCAGGTAAGAAAGAATACATAATTTTAATTTTTATCATCTACAATACTCTATTATTTATTTTCTAGCACAGTCCATTATTGCTTTCATTTAATGGATCAGTGGTCTCGTTAGATAGTAAAATTCATGTTAAATTGCCGTTTTAGGGGTTATTTTTAAAAGTCTGGAACGGATTAATCCGTTTTGCATTACTTTCTATGGGAAAGCGCGCCTTGGTTTGGAAACACTTTGGTTTTGGAACGGACTTCCAGAACGGATTAAGTTTGAGAACCAAGGTACCACTGTAAACAGAATCATAGAATTGCAGAGTTGGAAGGGACCTCAAGGGTTTAAAATGGAGCTTTCCAAATTTTTCACACCTTTTAGGAATGCATCACACAGTGATTCAGTTTTACTATCAAACCGGAGGTTAAACTAGCCCCTTTCCAGCCCCGGGAAAAGCACAGGGAGCGTTTGCATAACAAACCTACACACTGCAGCCGACACACTAACGTGTCGCAACACACAGTTTGGTAAGCTCTGGTTTAAAGACTAATGGAGATGTACACAGAACAAGACATGCACACGGTGTAATGTCTGCAGGAATAGCCATGCCGCTTCCAAACACAATAAACACATGAGACGTAACTGGCTGTGTTCTTAGATAAATAAGGTATACTATTCATAGTATCAGATTATAAATTTCAACAGAAGTAACTCATAAAGTTCAACAAACGAACAAAGCAGAAGACCCAGTGGATCAGATCATTCTTTAGTCAGTTCATGTATAAGGTCCATCTGTGTAATGGTGGCTATTCCATCTGTCTGTTTGTAAAGTCCAAAAAATCTACATGAAAGGTTGTTAGGTAAAGGGACCCCTGACCATTAGGTCCAGTCGTGACCGACTCTGGGGTTGCAGCGCTCATCTCGCTTTATTGGCCGAGGGAGCCGGTGTACAGCTTCCGGGTCATGTGGCCGGCATGACTAAGCCGCTTCTGGCGAAGCCAGAGCAGCGCACGGAAACGCCGTTTACCTTCCCACTGGAGTGGTACCTATTTATCTACTTGCACTTTGACGTGCTTTCGAACTGCTAGGTTGGCAGGAGCAGGGACCGAGCAACAGGACCGAGCTCACCCCGTCGCGGGGATTCGAACCGCCGACCTTCTGATCGGCAAGTCCTAGGCTCTGTGGTTTAACCCACAGCGCCACCCGCATCCCTCATGAAAGATTGTTATAGTTCCACAAAATCCTTACACAGAGTCTAGACAAGGATTACAGGACAGTGGATCTTATGGCATAATAGTAGCAGCTACTACTATGCCATAAGATCAACTGTCCTGTAATATCACATATAAGCTTTAAGTACTGATGAAGCCCAGGATGGCAAATCAAGGCCAATATTCCGGAAACCCTTGTCTAGACTCTGTGTAAGGGTTTTGTGGAAATGTAACAACCTTTCATGTGGATTTTTTGGACTTTACAAACAGACAGATGGAACATAAACCATTACACGAATGGACCTTATGCATGAACTGACTAAAGAATGATCTGATCCACTGGGTCTTCTGCTATGTTCATTTGTTGAACCTTATGAGTTACTTCCGTTGAAATTTATAATTTGATACTATGAATAGTATATCTTATTTATCTAAGAACACAGCTGGTTACGTCTTGTGTGTTTATTGAGTATGCTTCCAAACACAAGTCAGACAAATAATTGGTCCTTTGGGAGGGCCACTTGAGTCCATTGCAGCAGCAGCAACTACCTCGAACTCCCCAGGCCCAACACACGATCCACCGCCTTCTCATCACGCTCTGCTCCATCACGTTTGCAGACCTCGGCAAGATCCTGCAAAGATATTTGCAGACAAGGTATTAGAGGACACCTCGTGAAACGCCCTGGGATCTCCGGGTAAAGGGTGGAAAACAAATCTAATGAATAATAAAAATAAAACACGAATGAAGCAAGAGCACAAATTTGTGCACTGTCATGGAGTTGCTACAGGTCCGAGTTGAAGTCATCCTTCCTCCTTTTAGACCAGGCGTGGCCAAACTTGGCCCTCCAGCTGTTTTTGGGACCAGCGGTCAGGGATGATGGGAACTGTAGTCCCAAAACAGCTGGAGAGCCAAATTTGGCCATGCCTGTTTCAGACCCTTTTGCCGCATCCTCAGCGGTAGATGGAAGGTGGGAACCCAGGCATATTTTGCCACAGCTTGGGAGGGGAGCCGATTGCAGGACCCGGGCATGGCTTGCTAGCTGGGACTTCTGTAATGCTAGCACAGAGATAACCTCATATAGAATAGAGTGGTGACCGAGGGCCACCTTCCCTGATCGGTAACCTTCCAGGGGCCGCATGCCAGAGGCAATAGTGGACAGAGCAATGGATGTGCAGCAGGGGATTTATATAGACACATGCCAGCTCTATCCAAACAATCCAGAGGAATTAATGGACTTCAATGACACTGGGGCAAAAACAACTGGGAGGGTGGGAGAGTTTCTTTTCATTATTTATTTATTTAAGTTCTTACGTTACATCGTCAGACATTGTCATATTACATCACAAAACTTATTACACTGTAATTTTCAACCTGTATGTATACTTTATATACATCAAGGAAAACCAAACCAAAAAACCAAAAATAAAAAGCTATTCCAAACTTACTCCGAAATCATATATATACCAACACTTTGGACTTCCTGTCTATCCCGTTGTATATTCCTTTTTTTTTTTTTACAAATGAACGTACTCTTATTATTGTATATTTCTTTACATTTTATCTAATACATTCCTATATCAATATGTACCCTTGGTTTTGTTTCTCAACTCAGTCTCTCTCCGGCGTCAATCAAATGCTTGCACAGATAGTGAACCTTTACTGCATTTTTGAACATATATGTTCAAAATATATGTTCAAGATATAAGATATATCTTATATCTATCCCACTTTCCCATAAATTTTTGTTTTGAGTTGCCTCTCAGGCTATTTGTCAGCTGTGCCACTTCACCAAATTCTTGTAGCTTGCTATGCCTATCCGTAATTGTCGGGACTCCTCCTTCCTTCCACCCCTTTGCCACCAAAGTCCGGGCTGCAGCCGTAGCAAATAAAAAAACCTCCTTCAAGGCATTCGGGATGTCCCTGCCAACAATACTTAACAGAAATGCCTCTGGTGGGAGAGTTTCAAGCGCCAGGCAGAGAGACTGGGAGGGCTGCATTCAGTCTTTGTGCTCAAGGTTCCCTATCGCTTTCCTATAGAGCAGGGACGTCCAACTCCCAAGAGACTGCGATCCTCTCACAGAATAAAAAACTGGCAGTGACCTAGGTCAAAGCTGTTAAGCTTTTTTTAGGGAGGAAAGTCCCTTTTTTGTGGGGTTCAGGTCAAAGTCTGAGCTTTGGGATCAAGCGTGTTTACATGCACATAAACACACACACACACACACACACACACACACACACACATCTTTTCCACACAAACAATTTTTTAAAAAAATATATATATAAATACCTCTTTGCTTAGTCCTGTCGGCTGCTTCTTCACGTTCTTATAACCCCTTAAAAGAAAAACAGATGAGAGTTACAAAATCTGGCAGAGGTGGACTAGAAAACCAACAAAAATTATTTGGATAAATATATACATCGGTATAAAATGGGAAGAGGGACGCGGGTGGCGCTGTGGGTAAAAGCCTCAGCGCTTAGGGCTTGCCGATCGAAAGGTGGGCGGTTCGAATCCCCGCGGCGGGGTGCGCTCCCGTTGTTCGGTCCCAGCGCCTGCCAACCTAGCAGTTCGAAAGCACTCCCGGGTGCAAGTAGATAAATAGGGACCACTTACTAGCGGGAAGGTAAACAGCGTTTCCGTGTGCGGCTCTGGCTCGCCAGGGCAGCGATGTCACGCTGGCCACGTGACCCGGAAGTGTCTGTGGACAGCGCTGGCCCCCGGCCTCTAGAGTGAGATGGGCGCACAACCCCAGAGTCTGTCAAGACTGGCCCGTACGGGCAGGGGTACCTTTACCTTATAAAATGGGAAAATATTCTCTCGGCTTTGATGATCATGGGGATAGAAGCAAGGACAGCTCTTCTCAACTGGGTAAGGGGATGTTCATGTCACACCCAGCTGCTGTTACATTTGTGGGCAGCAAACATAGCCAGGCAACGGTGTCTAAGACTTACAAGGCTGCCATCATGGCCTCCTCTTCTGCCCGCCGGACTGCAGCCAGCTCATCCTCCCGGGAGAGAGGTGCGTCACCTTTCTTCCCCTTGGCGTACCACGTGAGATCCTTCCCCTTCTGCCACCGGCCTACAGGTGCCATCAAGGAGTTCCCTGCAGATTAAAAGGAGAAAGACGAATGGAAACAAAACTCGGAGTAGGACTAGAGAGTGTGTGAGCCATGAGAAACCTCTAACAAAATGGAGGCGTTTGGATTTGATATCCTGCTTTATCACTAACCCAAAGGAGTCTCAAAGCAGCTAACATTCTCCTTTCCCTTCCTCCCCCACAACAAACACTCTGTGAGGTGAGTGGGGCTGAGAGACTTCAGAGAAGTGTGACTGGCCCAAGGTCACCCAGCAGCTGCATGTGGAGGAGCGGAGAAGCGAACCCGGTTCCCCAGATTACGAGTCCACCGCTCTTAACCACTACACCATGCTGGCAGCCCAGGCTGCCTCTGTTCACATTTTGCAACGAGTGTCTTCTCCACTTAGCCCCCAGCACCTCTGCCACACCAAAACCCTTCAGATTGTGGAACTGAATTTCATCCCCTCTGCATTGCAGAGGAGGAAATAGGGGAGAGACAGAATGCCCTGCTAAAGGCCACGGAGGGCAAGATACAAACTCAGGACTTCTCAAAACAGACTCATAGTCATTTCAGCACATAGCTGACGGTTGGAGTTAGCTCAGCCTTCAGTAGTCAAAAGACAGCAGAGGGTCATCTCCCTACCTAGGTAGTTTTCCCTTTGTTTGTCCGTCTTTACATCTTCCCAGTTAAACTGGTCCTGCCCTCCTCTCACCCCCCCTCGGGACGAGCCAAACATGGTGATGATGGACAGGAGAGAACGAGCCCGGAACGTCTTCTTTCCTTCCTTTCTTTTAAAGTAGAACGCCAATCCTCAGGGAGCTCAAGATTCCAATCTTCAGGCGCCTGGACATGGAAAATGGAGAAAGCAACAGGCTTAAGAAATGTTACAGTTTTAGTATTCTGTTGTGCTTTCAAAAGTGGCCGTGACTTTGCTCATTGCATTTATGCAGACTTAGTGACAGAGCCCAGGGAGCTGTGAATTCGAAGCTGCAAAACTTCTATACTGCCTGGGTTGGAAGAGACAGCCCAAACACTACATTCCCTTCTAAGTAATCTTTTGGAGGTGGAGGTCACATAATTATAATAATGAAAATAATTTATTATTTATACCCCGCCCATCTGGCTGGGTTTTCCCAGCCACACTGGGCGGCTTCCAACAGAATATTAAAATATAATAACCTATTAAACATTAAAAGCTTCCCTAAACTGTAATGGCTTCCCTGGCTGTAATGTTTTAAGAGAATATGGAAAAAAAGGTTTAGAAAGGTTAAAATTTATCGATAAGGATTTGCTGAATTTACAATTTGAATTGGAATACAAAAAAGGGAGGTACGAGGAGGTCTGGCAAATAAGTTAATGGAAAATAAGTAATGGAAATTTTGTGTGTTTTTAATTATTTTTATTTGTATTAATATTGAAAACTTTAAAAAATATCTTATAAAAAAAAATAAAAGCTTCCCTAAACAAGTCTGCCTTCAGATGTCTTCTACAAGTCTGGTAGTTGTTTTTCTCTTTGACATCTGGTGGGAGGGCGTTCCACAGGGCGGGCGCCACCACCAAGAAGGCCCTCTGCCTGGTTCCCTGTAACTTGGCTTCTCACAGCGAGTGAACCCCCAGAAGGCCCTCGGAGCTGGACCTCAGTGTCTGGGTAGAATGACGGGGGTGGAGACGCTCCTTCAGGTATACCGGTGGTGGGGCGTACCAGAGGCAAAAATGGGAGGAGCAGCCAATGTTAGTTCGCTCCCATGTGCTTAACCCTCCTCCATCCATGTGAGCCAGAGGCGTCATCAAAGTTCAAGGGCAAATTTCAGCCAGACCCATATGCCCAAGGAAGGTGCCAAGTGGATCTGGTGAGGGGGTGCAGCCTTGGAGGGTCTCAGGGGTCAGATCCAGAGACCCAGAGTGCCACTTGTGCCCTTCCCCTCAGGCCAGAGATACCCCAGCCCTGATCCATTCACTTGGCTGAATACTACTCTGAAGAAAAATAGCTTCAATGTGCATATCCCATCTTTGGACAGTTCAGGAAACCTTGCATACATTCATGGCTGTTAACTAGAAGGCTGGTAGTTCAAGCCCACCCAGAGACGGCTTTGGGCAGGATTCCTGAACTGCAGGGGGTGAGTCTAGAGCAGTGTTTCTCAACCTTGGGCCTCCAGCTGTTTTTTTTTTTATAATAATATTTTGGGCCTACAGCTGTTTTTGAACTACAAGTCCCATCATCCCTGACCACTGGTCTTGCTAGCTAGGGATGATGGGAGTTGTAGTCCAAAAACAGCTGGAGGCCCAAGGTTGGGAAACACTGGTCTAGAGCAGTGTTTCCCAACCGGTGTTCCGCGGCACACTAATGTGCCGCGAGACGTTGCCTGGTGTGCTGTGGGAGGGAGGCGGGCGAGGCGGGCGGCGAGAGGCGGGGCGGCGGCGGTGAGGAGAGGCCGCCCAGCGCGGGGCTCTCGCCGTCTGCCTGCCTGGCTGCCTGCGTGGCGCTGACGTCACGGGGCTGTAACACATTTTCCCGGGTGCATGCATGCGTTGCAAAACCCCAGCGCCTGCTGCTGCACCGTGCAGAGGAACCGCTCAAGCAGCAGAGAGAGAGGCTTGCAAATGGGAGACAGAAAATCGAACCTGCTCGCCATCTGCATTGCATCCGCCGACGGCGCAAGTTGCAGAGTGGAGTAGTATTTTGGGGGGTGGGTGGGGGTGTTTTTAGGGGCTCCGCACGTGAGAAAGTTCAGGCTGCGCTCCGTTTTGCGCGCTCCTTCGCCGGATCGAAGGCTTTGCCACGCGCTTTTCTTTGAACCGCTTTGATTATTGTTAGCGTTATTTTCGCTAGAGTTTAACCTGGGCTGGGATTCGGATTCGGGGCAGAGCGCAGCGGAAAGGAATGGGCAGGTGTGGAGTGGCAGGAGTGCCTCTGAGCACGTGCAGAGCGCCCTTCCTTCGCCGTTTGGATAGCGCGAAAGCCGGGTGGTAGCACAGCGTGCGGGGGGACTCGCCGAGCAAGCCGCTCAGTTTGGGGGCGGCTCGTGGGCTGGTGAAACAGTCTTCATGGGCCGCATCCTGCCTGTGGGCCCCACGTTGCCGGCCCCTGGCTTAGGACATGAAAAAAAATACATAGCTGCAACATAACAAAAGTAGTCATAAACAATGAATAACACATTAAAAAAAAAATACACAGCCAATTTGAAGATTTTCCACATAAATCAAAATAGGATCTCAAATATAGGTACAAAAAAGCTGCCCGGTTCTGAGCCAGCTGCAGTTTCCAAAACGTACACTTTGAGCAATTACAAATTAAAAGACACAAGGGAGGCCGGGCTGAGAGGATTCCAACCCGCGTCCGCCCCCGCTGCTTCCTTCAAGTGGCGTCCTGGGCGAGGACAACATTTGACGGCCCCTCCCTCAAATATCCCTCATTTTCGCAATAATTCATTTTGGTACAGCTGCTTTTTCCAACGGATCTGTTCAGTGTTGTTATTTGCGCCCCTCTGCCGCCAGCAGCGTCCCAAATACAGCGCTGCTCCCCTCCTTAGGATGCCAAGCACTCTGAATTGGGAAGTGGCCCCCTTGGGAAGAGGGAGGCTTGCCTCCAAGTAAAGATGAATATGAAAGTACCTTGTTTTTAAGGGCCTGCGGTGGTGGTGGCTGTTTAACATCCAAGGCTCACAACACAAAAACACAAAACTACATTACATGGGACAGTGGTACCTCGGGTAACTGAGGCTTCAGGTTACAGACTCCACTAACCCAGAAATATTACCTTGGGTTAAGAACTTTGCTTCAGGATGAGAACAGAAATCGTGCTCCAGCATTCAATTTTTTTTATAATAATTAAAAAAGGTAACTACAGCTTTGAAACTTCCCAGGAGAGGCCGCCCAGCGCGGGGCTCTCGCCGTCTGCCTGCCTGGCTGCCTGCGAGCTTGGCGGGCAGCGCCTCCGTCCGCAGCGCCTGCCTCACAGCTCTCATTCCCTGCCCCTGCCAAAGCTCACCCAGCCAAGCCGCGCTCTCCTTCCTGCCTCGCTTTGCTGCCTCCCCCCACCCCAAAGCTTGGAGGTTCCCCGGCGCCGGCCCGCAGGTTTGACCCCCTTCTCACACCTGTTCGCGCTCCTTGCACGGAATGGGGCGGATGGGGAGGAACGGGGCTCGCCGCTGCCTCCGCTCGCCCTCCCCCCCTCCGCCGGCGGTCCCGCGATTCTTGGCTTTTTGGCGGTTGGCACAGAAGGAAGGCAAGGGGGGGGAATTGAAACTTACACTTTCGTGCGTCCCTCCCGGCGTGACGCTGCGCGCTGACGTCACGGGGCTGTGGTGTGCCTCGAGATTTTTTTCATGAAACAAGTGTGCCTTTGCCCAAAAAAGGTTGGGAAACACTGGTCTAGAGGACCCCCGGGGTCCCTTCCAACTCTACAATTCTATGATGTAAATGAAATAACGTATCAATATAAGAATTGGGTTGGTTTGTTTTTCCAAGAAGGCCAATAATCAAAACACGCTTACTCTGGATAAATTAACACAACAGGCATTCCAAGCCTTAGAAGAGCCACACAACCCCCAACACAAGTCACAAAGTGCCAAGCTACATGCCACAGCTAACGATGATGCAAGATGGATCTTGTGTCTTTAGCAAACCTTTACAAAGAGGCCTCGTAGCAAAACCAATATGGCCACAGGCAGTCCCTTTCTGAAGGGAAAAGGCTTTGTTTTAAGAAATGAAGCGTAGAGTGTTTAGGAGCACAGAGAGTGCCTTTTTCCTAAGATGAAAAGAAGATCCTTTAGCTGTACTTCATACTTGCAAAGATTTATTTTTTTTCAGATACAGTGGTACCTCAGGTTACATATGCTTCAGGTTACAGACTCTGCTAACCCAGAAATAGTGCTTCAGGTTAAGAACTTTGCTTCAGGATGAGAACAGAAATTGTGCTCTGGCGGCGCGGCGGCAGCAGGAGGCCCCATTAGCTAAAGTGGTGCTTCAGGTTAAGAACATTTTCAGGTTAAGAACAGACCTCCGGAACGAATTAAGTACTTAACCCGAGGTACCACTGTAGAAGCAAGAGTGACTCTCTCTGAAGTCTATTTAAAACAACAACAAATATTAATTACAGCAACAACTCCAAAGGTAAAAACATCAAATATGTGACTTCAATGCCTGCCTCTACAGCCTGACGTAAATGACAACAATCTGGGCAGGTTAGTACAAATCTGGCAGCTTGGAAACCCCAGTGTCCTGTTTCTGACAGCAGGCTTAAAAAAAAACCGTTGTAGGGTAGGTGTTGCAGCCTAAACCAACTGGAGAGCACCAGGGTGGGTTGGATTGTGTGATTTCCAAAATAATTTGGCAGCTTGCTCTTGTGCATCTTTATTCAGAACTTACATTCTGGAGTGCGTTTACTAGGGCTTCAGACCAAGAAACAATGCATAGGTTTCACCATCTTCACTTGCAAAGCACTTCCCTCCATCTCTACCGTGTTCGTCAATTATCACAAACAACCCAGTGGGACAAAGCACCATTTCTCAAGGCCAAGAAGGCCAGTGGGGGAATTTTTTAAAAAACTACAATCTAAGATACCCGAGTGTCTTAACGAGGGAAAGCCTGTGCTTATTTCCTCGGAAATAAGTCCCACCAAGTTTTGACAGGTAAGTACTCTCAAGTCCACGGGTAGGCAAACTGAGGCCAGGGGGCCGGATACGGCCCAATCGCCTTCTAAATCTGGCCCGCAGACGGTCAGGGAATCAGCGTGTTTTTACATGAGTGGAATGTGTCCTTTTATTTAAAATGCATCTGTGGGTTATTTGTGGGGCATAGGAATTCATCCCTCCCCCCAGAAAAAAATATAGTCCAGCCCCCCACAAGGTCTGAGGGACAGTGGACTGGCCCCCTGCTGAAAAAGTTTGCTGGCCCCTGCTCAAGTCAGTATCCGTAGCATTGCAGCTTAACAGCACGCCTTTCCTGCGAGTAAGTCCCACTGAACTCAGCAGGGCAGATTGCATGGATAGATAGATAGATAGATAGATAGATAGATAGATAGATAGATAAAGAGCTTTTTCCTGGGGGTCCGCATACCCCTAAAGATTTTATGAATCTTTGTACTGTACTTTTGTCCATTTACTGTATTTATTTTTCCCGATCTGAACTACAAAATTGTGATTTTCTTGAGCCGAAATGAAAGTACCCCTAAACATTTTTTTTAGATGTGCGTGGACAGACAGACAGTACAGTACAGTTGGAAGGGACCCTGGGGTCATCTAGCCCAACCCCCCCCCCCAGCAACGCAGGCGTAACCATAGCTGTCAACGTTTGCCTTTTTTTAAGGGGAAATTCCCTTATTCCGAATAGGATTCCTCGCAAGAAAAGGGAAAAGTTGACAGCTATGGGCGTAACAGATAAGACAAATGTACATAAATGCACGCGCTCCATAGCACCCCCCCCAATACCTTTCCACACTCCGGCCATGCTGTCCTTGGGGGGGCTGCTCTTAACTGTCAGTCTTCCCCCCCCCCACTTCTGCAAGCAGAGCAACTCCCCCCGCCAAAGCCTCCTCCACTTTGCGACTCACGTGCTGCCTGCAGAACCCGCTTCCTGCAGCAACTTCCGCAAGCTTTGGGAGACACCATCGCGCCGCGTGCCCGTGGGGGGGATACGGGCCGCACCAAGTTGCTGGGAGGGGGGTGGCCAACTCTCTTTAGCAACCGCAGGATAATATAATAATAATAATAACAAACAACAACAACAACAACAATAATAATAAATTTTATTTATACCCCGCCCTCCCCGGCTCAGGGCGGATCACAACCGTAAAATTACAGTAAAAATATTGTGATAGGAATTTTATGGTCTTAGACATATGGTAATGTTCATAAGTGTACCAGCCAAGCACATACATAGATCAGCACAGGAAGACCGACCTGGAAACATTTTGATTCCCAAACTGTCCCAAACTGACCAAATGTTTTCTCTGCAAGGTCAAAGGAAAATGGAAAAGCCTCCCCATTGTCTTTTCCTTCACAAATCCTGTCTTAAGGGTATGTCTGTGTTTGAATAAGGTTACAGATAGGTAGCCGTGTTGGTCTGCCATAGTCAAAACAAAAAAAATTCCTTCCAGTAGCACCTTAAAGACCAACTAAGTTAGTTCTTGGTATGAGCTTTCATGTGCATGCATCTGAAGAAGATGCAGGTATCTGAAGAAGTGTGCATGCACACGAAAGCTCATACCAAGAACTAACTTAGTTGGTCTTTAAGGTGCTACTGGAAGGATTTTTTTTTTGTTTTGAATAAGGTGTGAGCCTGTGACCTGGCCCAGGAACTAAGTATTTATCAATACAAAAGACTGGCCAGGTTACCCAGGCAATCCAATCAAGTAAGCAGGGTATCCAATCAAGTAACCTGCCAGACAGGAGATAAACGACAGGAGAAAAGCAACATTCAAAATTTCTGTTTTAGACCGCCTTTTCTGTGATGTAGGTGTGATGTATCTGAGGGGTGGTCTTAGGTTACACCCCTTCTGTGATTGATGTATGTATGATGTTTCTGGGGGTGGTCTTGATCTACAGGGTGGCAATTTCGAAAGTCTTTATAAGGCCTTGCGCGCCATTGTTCTGGGTTCTTCCTCTCTCCTGCGGGTGAGGGGAGCACCCTGTTGCAACAGATCCATAAAGATCAAGCTTACTAGCTGCTTTGCTTCTCAATATTCTCTGGTTGGCCTCTGTTATTCTCTCCTACCAATAGGGAACCTATGTAAGGACTCTATATGGGCTCTTGGATACCCCATAAGGGAAAAGGGCATTTTTTGTTTACAACAACATAATAGGAAAAAACCAAACCCCAATTTAAAATACAGGTTAAAATGCAATTTAAAATGCAGCCTCATTTTAAAAGTAGCCCATAGATCAAAACCATAAGGGGAGGGAAACATAAGGGTCAGACTGAGTTCAAACCAAAGGCCAGGCGGAACAGCTCTGTCTTGCAGGTCCTGCGGAAAGATGTCAAGTCCCACAGGGCCCTATTCTCTTGTGATAAGAGTGTTCCACCAAGTTGGGGCCAGTACTGAAAAGGCCCTGGCCCTAGTTGAGACCAATTTAACCACTTTGCGGCCTGTTGTAGATGGGTTGTGCAGTCATCGTAACTACCTAAGATGAGCCTCTCTGGGCATGGGGATGCGGTGATGGTGTGGGAAACTTCAGTGGCTTGAAGTCTGCCTTTGTTGCAGATTTATCGAGGCACAGGAGCCCTGCATTGGGGAAATGGGGCGGGGGGCGGTAACCCTCATTCTTGGGAAACCCTGCTCTTTGGAACTCCCTGCCTATTGATTTCAATCAGGCCTGCTAGAAACATTCTTGTTTACAGACAAGCCATATGCTTGCCTAAGCCCTCATCCCTACATGGAGAAAGGTGTGGCTTCAAATTTGGTGGGGGAACCATGTCTTGAGATTCCCGCTTTGCAGGGGTTGGACTAGATGACCCTCGGTGCCCCTTCCAACGCCACAACTCTGAAACCACTGAAGTAACATTGGATCTCCTGCCTCACCCCTTCCATCCGTACTTCCTCCTTCCCTCTAGTTAAAATTTAAACTGCAAGTTCCCCAAGGCTTTATGATCTGTTTGCATTGCTCTGTGAAAGAACCGCGTACAGCAGTAACTAATACAGTAATCTCAATTTTTTATTTTTACAAAAAAGCACGTGGCAGCACAGCAGCTGACAAATCTTCCATCTAAAGCAGAAAAGGGGCATTTCAGTAAGAGTTCTGTTGCTCCCGCTCAAGCTACCCACACCTATTTTTTTAAAAAAAATCTGTATAATTATTAAATGCACAGGAACCAGTGTTTGGGTTAGTGAAAGGGGAAGCCTTAATGAAATCAGTTAATCCTGAGAGGTTGGATGGGAATCTGTCATGCATTGCAGGGGGTCGGACTAGATGACCGCCAGGATCCCTTCCAACTCTAGAATTCCCATGATGCATCCCCGATTTCCCTCCAAACCCTAAATTTCAGCAAAATCTTGTTCCTTCCCTCGTAGCCTAAAAATAAAAAGGGGTCAGTTCTTCTGACACCCCGTTAATAAAGCATCTGCATCTGGTCCTGTTATGGCCCTGCAAAGTGGGCCACTGATCTCATGCAGAACAAGACCATTTCCTAGTTCTTTGCCAGATTCGCCTCCTTCGATGGAAAGAAGTTTTTTGCTTTTAACAGATGCATTACAGGCAAACTCAACAGGTGAAGTCCAGCCATAAAGGTGTTGAGAAAGTTATTCAAGGACCCTCTGCCCATTTTTTTTTAACTTAAGTGACTGTACATATCGAGGGGGAGAAAAAAATTGAAGCGTTTAAATGAATGGTAATAATAATAAAAAGGAATAACTTAATGTTTATTGATTCAAAGCCTTTTGATTAAGATGTCCCTAATTAACTGGACAGCAGACTTTAGGGTAATCTTCGGCTGCAGTTACAAATGCACTTACTAAAGATTAACCCTGGTGGAAATTAATAATCTGGGTAAACAGACACAGGATTGCACTGCTAATGATTTTCAAGGACGTATTTGCAAAAACCAAGAGCAGTAGCAACGTTCTTTGAGAATAAGCTTTCCCCTTTCTCTTCATCACAGGAAATGCCTCTTGCATGATGGTGCTTACCTTTTCTTCTGAATCATAGCCAAAACCCTCATTCAAATGTATGTTAACATATAAAATCCTATACTTGTCCATTCAGAAACCAGCCCTGAGATCAATGGGATTTTCTCCCAGGTAACTGTGCATAGGATTGAAGCCAGCCTTAATCAATCAACTTAAGATTTCTTCCACTGGGTGATAAGACACAGTAATAATCACTTAGCCAGTTACGGATCCCTAGCCCAAAAAATAAAACAGGAACACAAAGAAAACAGAAGGCATCTCTTTATTTGTGGACATTTTTACAACTTAAAATGTAAAATTAAGTATCTGATTGTGACTGATTTTCCACCCTGGGTGGCGGATCTCATTTCTTTTTCCAAAACTTTCTGTAATCGTCCAATTTAAAGCCATCTTCGAAACGTGTCTCCTCTTTTGGTTTAAGTTTGGAGGTATCTCGTTTCCGCAAGCGGGCTCTCCTTTCGGCGTCAGGGAGCGTGTTGATGTCCACAGGTATCTGGAAACGGAATTATGCATACATAGAAACTTGTAAACACCCCTAGAATCACCATGTTTCCCCTGCAGGCAGGGTCTTGTTCCTTTTACCAGCTCTAGAAATTCAGCAGGGATACCCTTACTGAGGCAAGCGCCTTAGGGTGCTACTGAAAGAGAAGTATTTAATGCCTGCTGCTTCAAATGTTAAGTCTGCAGCTTGTGGAAAAGACATTGAGAAATCCCTTTAGAAACCAAAAGACTATTCTATTATTAAGTTACTAGTCCTGGTGCGCAATCAATTCAGCCCCCTCATGGATGGTCAGGATCAATGCCTGTGGTTTTCAAGCTGTATAAAGCTTCTTGGACGCATATGCAGCAGTCAAAAGGTTTTCCTTGAACAGAGTTTACACCCCTCTAGTGATCTCCTCTTGCAGTGTGTGAAGATGTGTCTAGTGTCTGGACTTTATTGACTCTTAATTTTTATTTATCACATTATTCAGTTTCATTTGCGATATATAGTTGTGTTTTGCTCTTATCTAGTTTTGAGGAATTTTAACGGGATTTTTTGTTATTGTTTTTATGCAAAATGCTTAGAGATTTTTTTATATTAAGTTGTATACTTTTTAAATGTGCTTGATGGGCGATTGGCCTGATCCCGCTTCTAATGTTCTTGTATTTAATGTTCTGTCCTGCCACGGTGTAACCTGCCCTGGGACCGTCTCATAAACAGTGGGACTATAAATTGAATGAATATCAAACAGCAACTCTAACCGAAAGGATCTGCCTTGGCTCCTTGTAACGGATATAGAACGTAGAACCGTCAGGCCTGACCAGCAACACTGGATAGAGCCGGGCATACTTCTGGCGGGCCACGCAGGCGATGGATGTCCGGTTGGAGTTGGACTGCCGGGTGGATGTGTGGAGGCCACAAGTCCTGGGAAGGAGTCCGGAGAAGGCCTCTAACCGCAAAGCCCTGAAACCGATTCAGAGAAGAACTTGTAAAATCCATGCAAAAATTGACACACAGATAGACCCTTTAAGAACACATATACATACCAGAAATAACAAAAAATATACGTATCTGAGTACAACCCAACTCTGGTAAGAAAAAGACTGTGATTTAGCAAACAGGCAGTTTGGCTTGGCCTCAAACAAGGAGTAGCACCATAAGGAACATGAAATTTATATTGGCCACAGATTTCAGCGTCTCTGACGTCCCAGCTTTCATTTTAAAATGCAGTGAGTTGCTAGCTCTTAAGACTGCTAGTTCAGGTATTGGGAGGGTGTGTAGAAAGCCAGAAAAGATCATAATGCCAGCAAATACTGATGAAATGATAACAACAGAAGGGGTGGGTGGGTAGATGCCTCATTTATATAAGCTGTACTCTTCCCCCTTCCCTCTTTATTTATTTAATTAAATTTACTGCCATTCTGCGATTACAATATGAATG